ATAAAGGATACATGTCTTATGCTAAAGAAGTTGCGTGCTATAATGATCCCTTCAGCTCCCCCCTAGGTTTTCCGTTGGTCTTCACTTAGGTATAAAGAGACAAATAAGGCGTTTTCAACATAACACTGCTTCTGATCCAATCCTGCAGAACATATCTTTGCTCCATGAACAGCAGATATACATACCTATCAGCGTTCAGTAACAACGTTTTACGACATTCGGAAGTGTCAAAACCTTTTGAAAAGCGATAAAACATGTCTGTTAGGGTGTGTCGATAGTCGCAGATTCGCGTTAGACAAAGATATAAATTGGCGCGAGCATGCCAAAACACTAGCCCTGCAGTTGGTTTTGCGTAAAAATGCGATTTGACGAGGCTCGGGCAGGTCGAAGTTACAGCGAAAAAGTCGCAGTCGACGGTGCTGCCACCTACATTGCCAATAACGGGCACTATCATATCGTGATAATTGGGGTAGTTTCAAATGAGAAATGACTTCTATTTTTGTTCAAACTGCTTAAGAAGAAATAAAACTTTTCGGAAACACACATTTTTCCCAAATATCGCGTTCCATTTTTTCCTGTTGAGTTGTTAGGAAAGTGGTAAATTTCAAGGTTGACGGCTAAAAAACGAAACAGGAGGAACAGAGCAGGAATCACCAAGGCGTGTGCCGCGCCGATGCTGTAGCCTGTAGATAAGGGGTGAGCAACAGAACCAGCATACCTAACGATTTTGATTACTGATAGATATTTTTCTCTAAATGGAAGACTATTAGTAACTCAGGCAAGCCTTCTAATATAGGTATCGACAGGGTTGCGGTAAAAGGTACAATCGATGGCACATTACAATTATTCTGAGTTGGGTAACAACACTCTTCAGATACCTACCATCAACAGCCTCACTATCTCCTATATGGGAGCTATATCATCTGATTCCAGCGCCCTGAAAACTTTTTTTTTATAAATTTAGCTCGAATGTTTGAATGGACGGATTGACAGAGCCGAAGCCCACGCTAAGCAGAGCTTGTTGCGTAGACCCCGACCCCTACCGTCCGATCGCGCAATTCCGGGTAACGGGAGAATTTAGATGCCAAAGTTTAACGTGCCCTTCAAAGCCGGACACGGCCTGTCCCACTCAACTGACTTCAACTGGCTGCGGCTGCTCCCACCAACCGCAGACCATCCCCGTCAGGAGTCTCAAATATCGAGCGCCGGAGCGTCTCGAACCCGGGCTCTCACTACCGGGAGTCCAATGCTCTACCAACTGAGCTACGGGACAGGCGCAAACAGGTTATTACCAAAAATCTCTATATTAGCGCCTACCGACATACGCTGAATGACGCTATCAATACCCGACATTTGTGAAAGGTGATTCGCCACACAGCCCGCCGGCGTCTGAGGGGTTGAATAAGTGAGCCAGATTGCCAGCGACTCACCGCTGAACTACCGGGCATAACAAAACGGACGATGCGACATGACTCAGAGATCATCACAGACGCAACGAAAAATGTAACCGAAGGCCATCTGAGCTGTTGTTGTTGTTGTTGTTGTGTGTTCCCTCCAGCCGCGTCACCGCGGTGTAGCCGTGCGGCTCTGGAGGTCCCTCACGGCGGCCGCCAGGGCCGCCACCTCTCCGTCGTCGCGGACGTCTTCCGGGTTCAGGAAAATCGTTCCGTACATCCGGAGACGCCAGCCCATGAGGGCCGGGCACCGGAAGAAGAAGTGCCGGGGCGTGTGGCCTCCTCCCGGCACACGGTGCACCGGCCCGCCGCACAGTCGGTGTCAGGGCACTGGCGGCAATCATCGGAAGGGTTCCGTCCAATCCGGTGAAGGTATTGGCGGGATCCTGACCAGTGGCCCGCGCGGAGCTGGTGGACGTCGACGGCCGACGATCTGTCCCCCGTCGCGGCCGGCGGCGGCAGCCGGTTCTCCATCAGGGTCCGGTACCAGCCCTCCGGCCAGGCGGCGATGGTGCGGTCGCGGGCCAGTCTGGCGGCCGCGCGGTGGGCGGTAGCGACGTCCACCGGGACCGCCGCCTGGGGGAGCGCGGTCGCCTCCTTGGCGATCTGGTCGGCGCGCTCGTTTTCGTCGACGCCGCAATGGGACGGCACCCACTGTAGGTGGATCCGGCGGGACGGACCGGCCAGGGCCGCTAGTTCGGTCCAGATGGCGGCTCCTAGCAGGGTCTTCTGGGACGCCGGGCCCTCTCTCAGCGTCGCGAGGGCCGACTGCGAATCCGAGCAGATGGTGATCGGCGCGCTCGGCTGGTGCGGGTGGTCGCGCAGGTGGTTCAGGGCCGCGCGGAGTGTGACCATCTCCGCCCTGAAGCTCGAGCAGAGTTGACCGGCAGGGACGCGTAGCTCGTCGGTTGCACCGTCCGGCCACTCCACAAAGGCTCCTGCTCCTCCGCTGCGGACTCCCGCATCCGTCCAAACCCAGATGGCTTGCTGGGGGAGGGACGCTAGGTGTCTCTGCGCCGCCTGGTGCAGTTCGTCAGGTGGGGCGTCCCGCCGCAACGCTCCGATGTCCAGGGAGAATGTGACGTGTGGGCAGGCGGCCACCTCCCACGGCGGCGCGCGGGCGGGCAGCAGGGGCTCGATCGTGAGCACGATCCCAGCAGCCCGCCAGGTGTCGTGCCCCACCCCGCCCCATCTGAGCTCGTGCGGAACCCTCGTTCAGATACGTAATATCGCTATCTGCCACCTCGCGGTTCCCTTGTCAAGCCGAACTCATAGGCGGCGGAACGGGGAGGGCACCGCGGCACCGTGCCCCCTTTGATTTTGGCATTTTAACATTAGCCCTATGGGCGTTGCATGGAATGAATGGGACCAAAAGTCGGCAGTACCCCCCTTAATTGAAGGTATTCCGCCGCTACTGGCCGAACTGATGACACGCAATGGCCAGTCAGTCACAGCTCAGCTTCCTGCGGAACACAGGAAGACACATTCAGTGAGAGTCGGTGGTCATTGATTGTGTCAATATTATTGACATGTTGACTAAAGAACGGTTATATTGCGCCAATACTGTTGCCAGTAGCAGCACCACCAATCTTTTGAACTAAAACCACTTGACATCGGTAAAAAGAAACCCTCTAGCTTTTTTTCAAGCAATCCGTGAAATAGAGGGGATTAGAAAAACCGAAAACCCAAATATTAGCACTAGATAACATAGATCTTAAATTTTGGCCAACATTTTTAAAGCATAGGTACATCAGAGGAGATGTTGGCGGCTTACCGTCGCGTCTGTGATGATCTCTGAGTCATGTCGCATCGTCCGTTTTGTTACGCCCGGTAGTTCAGCGGTGAGTCGCTGGCAATCTGGCTCACTGATTCAACCCCTCCGACGCCGGCGGGCTGTGTGGCGAATCACCTTTTACAAATGTTGGGTATTGATAGCGTCATTCAGCATATGTCGGTAGGCGCTAATACAGAAATTTTTGATGATAACCTGTTTGTTTTCAGGGCGCTGGAATCAGATGAAATAGCTCCCATATAGGAGATAGTGAGGTTGTTGATGGTAGTTATCTGAAGAGTGTTGTTTCCCAACTCAGAATAATTGTAATGTGCCATCGATTGTACCTTTTACCGCAACCCTGTCGATACCTATATTAGAAGGCTTGCCTTAGTTACTAATAGTCTTTCATTTAGAGAAAAATATCTATCACTAATCAAAATCGTTAGGTATGCTGGTTCTGTTGCTCACCCCTTATCTACAGGCTACAGCATCGGCGCGGCGCACGTCTTGGTGATTCCTGCTCTGTTCCTCCTGTTTCGTTTTTTAGCCGTCAACCTTGAAATTTACCACTTTCCTAACAACTCAACAGGAAAAAATGGAACGCGATATATGGGAAAAATGTATGTTTCCGAATTGTTTTATTTCTTCTTAAGCAGTTTGAACAAAAATAGAAGTCATTTCTCATTTGAAACTACCCCAATTATAACGATATGATAGTGCCCGTTATTGGCAATGTAGGTGGCAGCACCGTCGACTGCGACTTTTTCGCTGTAACTTCGACCTGCCCGAGCCTCGTCAAATCGCATTTTTACGCAAAACCAACTGCAGGGCTAGTGTTTTGGCATGCTCCCGCCAATTTATATCTTTGTCTAACGCGAATCTGTGAGAAAAACCCCTCTGTCGACACACCCTAATGTCTGTTGCCCATGACACATCAAAATAGACTTGCTCATAATGTTTGAAATGAAACTGGCATGCTATGATCTGCTTTTGAATCGCAATTTAAATTGGCTGGGCGACAGTACATTTCTTGTACCAGTTTGAAACGTTATGGCGGGTTGCACCGTTCTTAAATGCCTAAAAAAACGCACACCAACTGCTCGTTGATATTACTACAAGCAATAGTAGCATGGCATCTAGGCGAAATATGAATTCCACAGAATTGAGCTGCACACACTTCATTATCTAGCAACTCATTTCATTTTGAAGGAAACATGCTCTCTCCATCTAACTAAATAGGTATGGTTAGACATCTATACGTAATATCTGAGCTCGATGAAATCACTAACCCGATGAAAGCACCGCTCTCCGGTCGCTGTTTCCGGCAGCCCGGCTCGCCCGAACCAATGCTCACCGGTAGCCGCGGCCCCAGAATCGGCCCACCTCCGTGTCGGCTGTCCTAATCGGACGGAGACTGCATCGCAGGCACACGGCCACAACACCAGCCGGGTCAGAGCCCCACCTCCGCCGACCTTGCAGAGGTGGCACTGACGGTGCCGGAGGATGTGGCCCTCCCACCGCGCTGGACAGTGAGAAAACCAGCTTCCCGCAGCCCGGATCACAACCGCCGATAAGATCCGCGACTGACAGACCGCGGCTGGTGTGGTGCCGGCCGGCGGGGTGGCTGCGGCCGCAGCCGGGGGCCGGTGTGCGCGAGGTGGCCTCCGGGCGGAGGAGGCCGCCGCTCTGACGGAGGTGACGCGCCGGCCAATGAGACGGGTCGAGAGGCGGGGCCACTGGCCGGCGGGTCCCGCGCGGCCCGCGCCGCGCTCGACGGCTGCGGCCGCTGTGCGGCACACACAGCTCACCAGACGACCGGATACCGCGGCGGGACGGCGGGCGACGGACGCAGCAGCGCCGGGGCCGACGACATCCCCAGGACACACAGGGCGGCCGAGGTCACCCCGCCGGGGCCGGCGACACCCCAGGATACTCAGCAGCTGAGGTCACCCCAAGTCAATCTCCAGGGATCCAGCAGCAGGACCGCCAACACAAAGGTGAGTGTAGCTAAACGGTTACCGGTGACGTGTACCAGCGTTAACATAACGCTAAAACAATTAGCTTCCCAAGACATACTGAGAGATGCATCCGTTCATATTATTGTTATGCTTCTTAGTGATGATATCATGCAACAAGAAGAAAACGGCAAACGCTACCAATTTATCTTCTCGTCCCCAGAAAAAAAGGAATGCAGAGCACAAGGTGTTTGAGTCAGCTCACCATTATATCAATCCATAATTGGGCTTGAGCTTGTGTGACTTATATCATTCCGATGAATACAGCACAGAGTGTTTGAAACAAAGCAACCAGTTAACCAACCATACCCACCATACCAACCATCCGTGGTCAATAAGTAAGCATTACATTTGCCAATGTACGACCAAGAAAATGGTATTAGTCGGCAAGGCAATGAAAATACATCAAAACTGAATACCAAGGTCCAAGACCTACATCTCAAAACTCCGTTTTGTAGCTGATCTCTTCAAGGAAGGGTGCCACCTTTTGGACACAACGCAGTTTTTACAAGATTAGCCTCACATGAACCTAAAAACCGGCTTCACTTACCTATGCTCGAGACGGTCAGCATTGAATCCGCACGTGAAGTTATCATTTGCGAGTTTTGCTGCCAGCATTCGGGCAGGCAAAAATCTTCAGCACTATTTCCTCGTCGTGTTAAGGGTATTTTATAAAACATGAAATCAGCAAAGGTATGTATAAAAGTTATACTTTTGAAGCATGTTTTATCATTTTGAAAGGGTATATTTTTTCTTTATGGTATACACTTAAGTTTTAAAATTTTAATTGGGAAGTTTTTCTAGTAAGTTGCATGAAGGGTGAAGGGTTCCATAGATCTCTTAAGCATTGTAAAGGAAAAACCTTTACTCGACTTATTTGATGTTCTTTTGACGTATCTCCGCGTAACATGTGTAATCTATATAATTTATTTATTTATTATTCCTTTTTATTTGTTCATCTTTTTGTCTCAGTTGCGCCATCAATGCAAATGGCAGAATGATATGTTGCCATGACAACAGGATATGCCAGCCGTCCTAGCTGCCACATCAAACGACCTTGAGTTGTAGTGGTGATATAAACAACGATCTTTTTTTTGGCCAATGTATTAAATGCAATGTTTCGGTTTTTTGTATATTGTGGACGCGCTAACCACGTCTAAAAATTCAAATAAGTAAAATAGATTCATAGAACAAAAATTTCGGAAGGTGGCACCCTTCCTTTCAGAGAAGAGTCGAGAGCGCAGTAGCGATCCATATATGAAGTTTTGCTACCTTCTAAAAAATGAATGCTTTCAGCATTCATCATGATAGGCTAGGCAAAGAAGGATTTTTTGTTTTGTTTTTGCTGATAAAACCAGGCCAGAGAATTAAAAAAGTATGTTTGTTTTGAATAATTTTGCTTTCAAAGTGGAGGACAGGACAAAGTTAAGGCGTTTGAGATATAGAATGTATGATATGACATACACACAGTTTCAGAACATAGATGATTAACCCGCGCCCCGTTGGGCTCTGCCGAGCAACGCGCCCTGTTGGGGGGGGGGGGCAATTTGCCCCCTCCCCTAAGATCTCGAGAACCACGCAACCTAGCGACAAGCGGCAAACGGTGTTGGATAGCCCTATAAGGAACTACCTTGTGACCCAATTTTATTGATCTAGGTCAAACCGATGACGTCACAGGTCAGGTCAAAGGTCGAATTTTCACCGTTTACAGGCATTTCAAGAAATGCGTTGTATAATCGAGTAAAATGCATTTCATTGAAAATCATCGATGGAGAAATGCTCTTCAAACACATATTATGCTATTTGAGGTCACTGATACCAGGTCAGGTCACAGAGGCCAGGTCACTGGGGGGTCACAATATGAAAGTGTCGTGTGATACATGTTTTATGGTCCATTTTACATGACAAATGCGATTATGTGGGTCAGGCAGCCGTTGGGGCCAGCTTAGGTCACGTTTTGGTCAAGGTCAGGTCAAGGTCAGGTCAAATTAGGTCAAATTTCAAAGTTGATATTTGTGCATAAAATGGGTATCGATTCGATGCAGCTCGTCACGGGGAGTTCAATGGTGGTCTTCGTTTTTCCCTACGTGGTCTAGAATCGCTAAAAATTGAGTTAAAAAATTTGACGTCATCATTTTTGAAGTTTTTTTTTCGCTATAACTTGGCCAAAAAACAAGATATCAATCTGTTCGTGTACAGTAGCAACTGCGGGTCCCGTACTGAAAATTTGGTACGTTTTCTTGCTATTCAGGAAAAACCACAGGAGAGGGGGGCCAATTGCCCCCCCAACGGGGCGAGGGTTAAATGCGCACTTTGTTAGGTATCCGTGGCTAGTACACAATACACATGCAATATGCCTATTAACGCCAGTGTAAAAGGAAGCATTTATTTCGTAAAATGCATTTGGCGAAGGAGGGTGAATTGCGTCACCTTACGGAAAAATGTCAATTTGCCAGAAAACTGGTGAGAGATCAGCATGCGCGCATGGTGACCACGTCCCCAAAACGACCAATAATATTTTAAAGCTTATCCGTTCATTGGTGATACGATCGCTGATAAGTCCCTTTGAATAAGTGTGACCGAGTCACAAACCCACTCTCTTGGAAATATCTATAGCGAATCTGTGGTAATTGTTGCCCAAGGGTCTCGCATCGAGAATTGTCTTTATCCGGTTTGTCTAATGGCATTACATAATGCATTTAGAAGTTCAAGTGCCCGTAATATATGGTATAACTGAAAACCGTACGAGTGACATCTTCTGCTGAATTGGTTTATTTGTTGGTTAGTTGGTTTGCTTGCTTATTTTGTTGGGGTAGAAACTTTCAGTCTTTATTTCAAACCATTGCAGGGCCATGGCGACCCATGCGATGAAAGGGTTAGGGAAGACGGGCTGATTTCTCCATCGGCTGATTGCACTGTCGTTGGGGCTGGCATGCAATGGAAGGATAGACTTGAAGCCACACAAGCCACTCAAACTGATAACCTGGAGGGACATGCTCCTCTTAAAGCTGCCCCCAACGCCACTTTCCCTTCCGATGACGGTTGCCTGGGTGAGGTGACAGTCAGCCGGAAAGGAAATTATAATCAGTCAATTGGAATTGTATGACATTGCTTTGGAAAACACTGTCAATTGAAAGAAAACACTGCTCTGACAAAGCCTGCCATAGGTATCGTCACCGACTGCTTCAGTTCCTGATTGATGTGCTGAGAAGGATGGTCGCATAAAATTATGAAATGGTTGGTAAAAGACTTCAATAACGACAAAGACAATACACAGCACATTCCTATGACGAAATAAATGACATTCAACTGCACTAAACTAGGGGAGAGCGGGGAGAGTTGTATCATGTCCAAGTTGTATCAGGGCGAATTGTGCCAAACTTATCCAATAGATAGCGCTCGTGACACGACCAGCCGACGAGGTTTTCCGGGCGCCATCTTTCCCTGTTCTGTCGTGTGGCTGGGTGGACGCGTCTCGAGGTGAGAGCCGATTTTATGTTTTTTAATGTCATTCTAAAAAAATGAGTTGCAAGAAAATGTGTGTTTTGGGCATTTAGATGTGCACGAATTTGAAAGATCTACGTAGCGGTGGTGAGGGTAGGTTCTAAGGCTGCGTTAGTGAAAATTGATTTCTCCAGCTGTCCGCTGTTTTTGAGCACGAGGATGTTTTTTCCAAGATGGCGGCGAGGTACATGTTGTGTCAGAGCCGGGTGGGGTATGTTGTAACATGTATGTATGTATGGGTATGTTGCTTTTGATCGCGAAAGCTAAGCCTTGTCTCGCGTTTGTAGGTAGCTAGTCAATACTTGTTCCATTTCGGCACAATGTGTTGGCTTCTTTGCTCTTAACGGGCCACTTTTGCATCTAGTCTGTTGATGTTTCGTTCGTTTCGATGTTTCGTTCGGATTGCATTGACCTAAGTTTGGTCTAATAAAAGTGAAGCCTTTGAGCATATACATTGTATTAACCCCATTTAATGTTGTTGTTATGTTCAAAACCAGTAGCAAGCACACTCCCTGAAACGTGAAATACCTAGTGATACAAATTACCCCACCATGTGATACAACTCACCCAAGCCATGGGGCAAGTTGTATCAAAAACATTGTTCTATTCGGCAGACCGTAGAAGAAAAACTGGTAGCGGTAGCGGAAAAGTTACTTTGCACAAAAAAGCAGAAGAATCAAGGAAGGAGATAGTATGGAAATAATGAGTTTATCACGGATAGTTACGAGGTTATGGGTCTCGAAGTAAAAACTGATACAACCCACCCCACTCTCCCCTACTATCGTACGTTTATAAACCAACAACACAACAATTTACTCCCAATCCCTGATCCCATTTCGCTCTTCTGCAAGCACGTTGATGCCGTTGTCAACTAAACGAGCCATGCTAATCGGCTTATTTATTGTAAGACTGTCGACCGTCATCTGATCTGACGAGGGCAGCTCAGGGGCCGCCAATGGTCATCTGAAATTATGCCCTTCTACCAGATGCACACTACTAACATAACAGAGGCTCTGTACATGTTCTTCTGGAGTCTTAATGAATTATTTCTTTGAGTCAAATAAACCAGACCTTGAATGTCGAAAGGGAAGTACACGCTTCATCATAACATCAACATTTTTTTTTCACAGCTAGTGATCTTAAATGTGAATGCAACTCGAAAGAGGCGCTATGACGTAGCTAATTAAATTCCAATTTCGTTGTTAACATATGTACGACGAAAATAGAACAACAGCACCGGCTTTAGACAAGGTGTTCTGGACAAAATGATGCCTAATGGGTTTTGTATTCCGCTTACTACCTTTAGGTACCGGCTGCAGGCTTGATACAGTGTTGCAATCAGCGTGCACGATCCCTGGTAAGAAATCCTTGCATTTCTGCGTGATCGGTAACAATTCAAGGCTTATGCTTCATCAATATTTATTCGTCACCGTATTTTCTAAATAAAAAGCAAACTAAGCAAAATACCAGCTTCTTAC